AAAAAATGGTTCAGGACTTTTCGACTCAGAATAATCCCTTCTACCTGCCTACGAGCGGTTATACGGTCATTATCAGACACCCTGTATATATATATCTATTACATATATATATATATATATATAAATAAAATATTGTTGTTTGTTTCTAAAACACTTTATCATTGAATATCATGGAACACAGGAACAAATGTACAGAAGGTATAAGCTACAGTTTGTTCACGAATGGCCTCCAAACTTATCATTGGTAAGTTTTTGGAAAATTTATAAAATTTTTGAAAACAGAATCAATGAAAACCGATGTAATAAGAAGTGAATCGCCGTTTTTTTTTTTCTCGTCGTCTTACTTTTCTGACTTTTCATTTGCAAGATATTATATGTAATGCTTTTTAGATGTATCCTTCTTCTCCTAAGCCATCATTGTCAAAAGAGAGTGAAGAGAAGGATACTCAAGGACAACAGAACTCTTCGAGAAAACGAATATTAGACACTGATACTGAAAAGGATCGTGCCACATCTACATTAACTCCGGTAAGTAATAAAATTATCGGAATTCATAGAAAGCCATGTACGCTCTGACGAATAGATTGCTGTACTATGATCATTCTGTCGCGATAGTTACTTTAGTATAATACTTGTGTAATGTGTCTTAGGAGACATCCTCTTCTCCGCCGAAGATTTGTCGATCCGATGGCGAAGATACAACGGACATTGAAACAGAACGAATAACTACCGCTGATAGAAACATATGTGATGATAAAAAAAATGAGCGCGCAAAGGTAAGTTTTTTGAATTTGTTAACGATATAGGAAGACGAAAGCGGTAATATAAAAAGAGATTGCTGTTTGAAGGTTATTTTCCGTTAGTAAAACCAAATTCGATCGTCGGTTGTAATGGAATTGTACAATATACTTATTATTTTCTTTTTCAAAAAAAGGGAACGCTTGAATGTGTCTTCTGTTTACAAAAATTCCCATCAGCGGATGTATTAAAACCTCACATTGTGGAGTGTTGCAAAACATACAACATGTAATAATTGTTTCCGGTAAGAAAATTGTAAAAATATTTACAAATAGATCTAACCGCTTTTGTATGGAGAGATTTGTTTTATAAATAATTTATACTAAAAACACTATGTAATCATTTCAGAGTGTTGCTGTTTAATTTGACGTCATCTGTATGGAGTCACAAGCGCACTTCTAATCCGTATTTAGTATAAGCATTCTAAAGACTGAAAATATAACCACTCTGAAGTAATGACGAGCTTGACAGGATATTGCACTGCCATAATAATTATTTAGTTTGATATAACATACAATAGAATGACACAAGATGTACGGTCGACAAAAGAAATCACCACATTTGACGATTACTTTGTCATTTTGATTTAAATACATGTGTTATTGACAATCTACGGTTACAATGTTTATACTGTTTTCCTTGATAATATTTCTCAAGAATAACATGTGACACAATGGTTGCGTTCAGACAACTCAACGATTGAGAGATCGTCACTTATGATAGGACTATTCTTCAAAATCTGCTGCGGTTCCAAAAGTATGATCCAATCAGAAGTGATTATCTCTCAACATTTGCACAACGGTTGAGAGATAATCACTTCTGATTGGATCATACTTTTGGAACCGCATCAGATTTTGAAGAATAGTCCTATCATAAGTGATGATCTCTCAACCGTTGAGAGTGCGTTGTCTGAACGCACCCTGTGTTTCCTAGAAGAAAAGCAGTTACAGTGTCCACTAGTGTGAATGAGACACTGATATGCTCTTTCTCACATGGACATTGTATTACATAATGTTTCCTGGTACGTTGGCTGGAAAGTTCCCAGAATTAAACGTCACTCTACTAGCAATTGGGAATTTGACTATTTAGGTATTGTGTGTTTTTGGTTTTAGAGTGTTTTTTCGATATTGTCATTTTGAACCGTAAACTTATTTGAGATACTATCAGTGGAAAAGAGAGAAAAACATTTTATATATTTATATATCGTTTGTGACCATTTTTTAATACGCTTTTTACAAGTGAACTGGTGTTGAGTTGAAGTGACTCATATTTATATTTTACAAGATTTTTTAAATAATGGCTGCGAGAGAAGAAACAGATAGACTTTGGGTGAGTTTTATCTTAAGTCTATGTAAAAGTTCATATATCAAGATATTAATAAAGTTATCTTCTCTAATATTTACTTTTTTTATTCAAAATAAAAATTATAATCATTTCTTTGTATATTGTTAATGGAATATTTGGTTCTTTAGGAAAAAATGAAGGAGCTTGCTGTTGAACAGCAACAATGCTTTTATGAATTTCTTCCTGATTGCACAATGTATGAATCTAAGGAGCACAAGTACCTGAAACAGAATATTGGCTTTGCTATATATGGACCACCAACAGACAAGAAAGAAACCAACACGAATACAACAACAAGTAACAGTTGCCATTGGAAATCAGAAACACCAGATGCAAATGCAGATGTAGATGTAGCTGATTTAATTGAGTATGATAAAGAAGCTACAGAAGTTATAAGTGATATATATAACAAAATGTGTGAATCTGATCCTTCTAAGCCAATTTACTATGGCATAATTTATAATATAATATTCCGTCCTAAGAAAGAAAGTCCTATGAAAGAAAAGTCTAAGAAAAAAGAAGTAAAAGAGGAAGAGATGATCTCAATATCACCCAATCCCATTTTTACATTCAGAAAAAGTATTCCAAAAAAACCCAATAAAAAAGGAACAACATATGAAGTTACATCATATGAGACGTGGTATATTGACACCAGTGGTAGAGTGTACAAGAGTTGGACAGATTACTTAGAAAATAATACTCTACCAAAGTGCACTATGATTTTTCCAAAAGATGGTATTTATCAACCAGATCCAAACTATCCAATTACGGAGGATTATTCAACAGTCTGGTTCGACATTGCGGATTCTCCTGCATGCACATTGAAAACCGCAATTTGCAATGGGATTGATACTGCTTCCAGTATTGTTGGATTAAGCTCTCTTGGCTTGTGCGTTGTGTCAGCATTCACACCTCTTGGACCAATTCTTGCTGCAACTAGTAAAGTATTAACATAAATGTTGACAACTTAAATTATCTTGTCTGTTAAATATTGTAATCAAGTAAAAAATTTTTATAATAGGTCTTGCTGCTACTGGTGCATCGAGTATCTGGACAATTGGTCGATGTTCTCATCGATTGGTGGATCGCAAAACTCATGAGGAATCTATTCATATCTCAGATAAAGAAGCGTTTAGCCAGTGGCTTGGCATAGTCGGTACAGGTTTTGGTTTGGGAGCGGCTGGAGGAACAGCAGCTATTTCTGCAGCTGCTGCACGCAATGTGACAATAAACAAGTTTGCGATCAAGATGTTTAACGTTGTTCAGAGTGGCAGCATAGTTGTCAACGGCATCGGTGTCGTTTATCAGGGATACTGCGTAATAGACAAGTATAGAAAAGGAGAAAGCTGTAAAGCAGACACGTTAAATTTTCTACTTCATGTTATGTTTTTCGCTGGGTCTGTAGTAAAAGTTCAATTCGCGAACGATATCATTGAGAGTACTCAAGGTAAAGTCATTAGCGATTATAAGGACTCTCTTACTGAAAAACGTTTTCTTAAAAAGTTTAGAGCCGCCGCGCGAAAAGCTGCAGCAAAAAGCACATCTAAAATATCTGAGAATGTAGAAATACTAAAGTATATAAAGAACCGTCAGCAGTTACAGACTGCTGAGTTCCAGGCTGTTTCTGGAAATAACAAAACGAATAGTAGTTTACGTAAAATTGTGTGGTCGTTTGATCAAGGTAAATTGAAAGTCAATGGTATTGTCTTATTAGATCCTGTACAGTTTGTGATTCGTCTTATAAAATCAGATGAATTATATTTTGAAGTGGATAGGAGCAATTCGTCCAACTCACAGTATGATGATTTAGTTTTTAAAAAATTGATAAACTTAGTTTGTGATTTGTTTGTTGAACATTATAAAAAAACAGGAAGTTGTTCCAGAAATATGCCTGATTTTGAACCATTGATTAAAGAGATGAGTTCTATGAGAATAGATGAAGAGTATTTCCAAAAATTGTTTTCAATCGCTGTAAAGTTAATTCGACGTTCTAACAGTAAGGAAGAGTTTTTATTCAACGCTCTCTTATTTACATGGCAATATTGTCAAGCAAATTTAAAACAATGGGGCATATACTCACTCTCACGCAAGGTAAGTGATTCCGGATCTAAGATTTTACAAAAGATTATTGTTGTAGTTTTTCTAGCAATTGATGAGATGCTTGATAATTTGTCCGAAGCCTTTGCGATGTATTTAAAAGCTGAACTAAAACAAGTTAAATGGTAAAAACAAAAGTTTAAAGATAAAAACAAAAATTAAAACATCTAGAAATAATTTAATATCTTCCGAAAAAAAGACAAATCTATCATTCTCGAACTAATATATCTTTTTCTTTACTTATAAGTTTCTATTTGTTATATATATTTTGTTAGAAATATTTTATCTTGCTGTAACTGAAATGGTTTGTTATATTAATGCTTTTTATGTAATTAAATCTATTTTTTAAACGTGTATATAAAGTGTATTAAAATAAAAGTTTATATACATATGTACAATCTCTTGTAATATATCTTTCGCAAATTCTATATTAATTATATTAATAATAATACTAAATGAAAAAAAGAACAAATACATATATGTAAAGTGAAGATGTATATAGAACGGATTTGAAAAGCGGTGTAGATTCTCTCAAACAGTGTAGATTCAAACCGGGTTATTACAATTAGTGATAAATAGAGATTACTCTCTATAAGTCTTTTAAACTAATAATATATGAATATAAGGACATGAGTCCGTTCGCAGGATGTGCGTAAATGTGAGAATATATATATATGAATGCATATATATATATATATAT